GCTATGAATCAGGTTCCTGAAATGTAATATGTTTTTAGGTTTAAAATCACCCATTGTCTTACAATTTACGGTTGTGCTAAATTTTGAAAAAGAAATATTCAATTCTGCCTTAGTTCGCAGGCTGACTTTCCACTTTCTCCAAACAGATCTGCAGATAATCAGCTTATAGTCTTAAGCCTAAGAACACTATAGGCTAAGGGCCTCACTTTCCTCCAGCGAGACACTAAATTAATATTCCGGGATAAAGCTGTAAAATGGCCTTATGTTTAGTTTCCTCACTACAATACTGCTCGTTTTTTAAAATACTGTTTTAACTATTTCTATTTTTATTTTCACCTTTATCACTCAATCACTCAATATGTAGTTAAAAGCATAGATGGAACTCTCAGTTGGGTTTGGACGCTCTTAAGGATGGTGATGGATTTCCGCATGGGTCTGACACACTGGATGGATGACCCCCAAAAAATCACCCAAGTATAAGAAAATTAATTCAACATATCCCAACAATTGTCAGAGTATAAGCACATAAAGTGGTGGATGTATATTTAATACAACCACCGCCTCAGTGGATTTTATAGGATGAAGAATTCTCAGAATGGTATGAAATGGCTTATGCAGATCCTTCAAATATCCAAAAGTTGATATCAGTGTAGTGATTCCGAATGTGGCTCAAAACCATATTAAATCATTTTTCTACTCCACATTTTTAATGTTTTGGCAATCAATTGGGGAATTTTGACAAAAACGTCCTGGCAATAAGTTCTCCTGTTGTCAATTCGAAACCCTGCCCCTTTAGGCCACTGTTCTGTGGAGAAACATACAGCGTCTTTCTGATCACAACAAAGATCTCTTAGAATCTCACAACAGTTTACAGCTCCCAATATGACTTAATCCTTGATTGACCAAGATAAAACATTGACAGCACAAAATAGAATGCGTTTTATAAGTTATTTTATTCACTAAAAGCTATGTTTAAATTTCAATACAATACAACATTATATTTGTTTTGCGTCTTTCACGTCAGGAGGACATTCCAAGATGCACATTGTAAGTGTTAAACATATAACACAGCATAAAGGCAAGATCTAACTTAAATCAGCGAAGCCAAAAGTTTCATTTGGAGAGGTAGTGTTTTACACCAGGGTTACGAAGGCTTGAAAACAATGCAGACTTTTTATTATCATTAATTTAGCTTTCTTGGGTTTTGACCACCAAGTTGTCGCCTGGGTGCCTCTCAGGTTAGTTGGCAGGATCCTTTTGCCATCTCTCACTTTGACTGACTTGTGGTGTCTTCTACTATCTTGGGTCTTCCCGACCTGTCACTGTTCTTTATCAGTTGACAAGTAACGTAGGTTTTGCTAATGTCTTTAGATTTTTCTTTATAATTAACTTTCTTCGCCTAGCGGAATCACAGTAGAAGTATACTTGTCTACATTTCTCTGGACATAATCCTCTCAAAACAGCTTTGACTCTCTAACTCTTGGGTCTTGTCAAATCTCCCTTTGAATCTCTTCCGAATATTTTGAATCTGCTTTTCTGAACAGAACTTCCCATTCTTATACCTGTTGGACTGGGCCACATTAGGAATCGGGGTCCTTTCTTTGTGGTCGAAGTGGTCTGAAATGGTGAGAGTGAAAATCCAATCAGGTGCTACCCTCTTTGATGAATTTTCTTCTTGATTTTTCTGAGCCATTTATCTTTGGGATGAGTGACTCTACAGACACAGAATTTGGAAATATTTTACTCTCCCTGCTCAAGTATCTCTGTTAGAAACTTCTGTTCAGTCTACTTGTACCAATTGGTAATTAATCCCACATGCTATGTCGTTGCTATTATGGTCAATTGTTTTGGGCACCTTTTACAAATTGATTTGAATGAACTGGTTCGTGTCTGGTTAGTGTCAATCTGACCTGCCAGGCTAACAGGACAATGTTTCTTTGGTTCAGTTATGCACAAGCCTTTGCCATTTGATACATTGACCAAAATTAACCATTTATACAGCCTGATGTGAGCTGTTCATAACGACAAATAAAAAAAAATTTCCCTACACAAATATGAGTAACCTCTCAAGTGCTGCTATCAATTCAAATCAAAACACTGTGGTAAGATAGAAACTACACTGTGAGATCTCAGTGATCAGAAGGAATACTCGCATTTCCCAAATAATCAGAAGAGCTCTCTGGCATCAAAACCTCCTTTAAAGCTGAATCTTGGCAGTAGAACCCCGAAGCTGCCTTTCGGGGTGGTTTTCGAGACTCTTCTTGAAGCTTCGTATAATTGCTTAGATGCAGCAGCGATGCAGAGGTACAACTAGAATGTGAAAATCCGGAGATTGAATTAGATTTTTTTTGTTGAACTACATCTCAAGCTCAAACTAAAACTAACCATATTCTTTGGACCACATCAAATTGAAGCTGCCCCTTTGAAAATGCTCAGGAAGAATCTGATATGCATCCATCTATCTCCATTGGAGATGCATTTGGAACAAACCAAGCATGACAGTCTCATTGCATTCCACCTGTCCAGCGGCTGCTTATGATACACGGAGCTTGAAATTAAAGGATGCAGAACCATTAGGCAGCAGTATTGGGAGCTGTCGGAAGCCACTGCAATGTTTTAAAACAAACATTGGTTCAGTGTTGTAATAGAAACCGAGGGGTTCATTCTGTACTGTGTGCATTGCAGGTTCTGTTTAAAAAGGCTGAACTGGGAGCTTTCCATGTGTGAGATAGCATTGCTTTTGGCTTCAATCTTCCTGGCAACCATAATTGCTATTGTTGTTTTGTTGTTAAATGCACTGGATTCTTTCCATCAGACTTGTATTCAGTTTGTAGATTCTGTGCATATACAGCAGCATCAAAACCTACTCCAGAGATTTGAACATCGATACCAATGTTGATCAATGTGACAGCATGTATGAAAGCATCAGTTTGCACCAAACTGTCGATGCTGAATTTATTTATCTGATAAAATAATCTAAAAATCACTATTACATCTGTTCCTGTGTTCACCACAGTTTTCTAGCAGATATCAGAACCCTGGAGATAGTTTTAAATCTTCACTATCCTGGGGAAATTGAGCCCAAATGTAGTGGCCCAACTTACCCCTGTCCTTGCAGAGATCCACTAACTGCGCAGACAAAAATCAAGTAAATGGTCTTTCTGTCTCTCTCTCTGCCTTAGCAGTACCCGGTGACACTAATTCTCTCGTGTCCTCCTTCTTTCAAAGCTTTTAACTGCTCTTTCCATCTCCTGGGCTATGGTTTCACAGGCGGAACATGCCCTTTGCTGCCTCAAAGAAATGGCCCTTGCTTGTGGGTTAGCTTTGACAGTGAGTGGTGGCAGGATCACAGCCTGTCCTCGCGTAATCGGTACACACAAACACATCTTCCCAACAGGGACATGTAGATAGTGATCAAGATCGGAAACCCTGACCTATTTTCTTCAGCTGAAGCCAGAGGACCCAAGGCTTATTGTCAAACTCCAACTGCTGCCTCAGCTCCGAGCTCAGCTCCTTCAGCTAAAGGGTTGAACTTTAAATCTTCTTGTCTGGATCCTCTCGTGCCTCCATCCACTAGGCAACTGGAGGAACATTCATGGTGCATTTAGCTACAAAGGTATTCAAGCAGCTCTGTGGAATACAAATCTAAACCCACTTAATGAATAACATATTACTCAAGTAATTGTCTTGTCAGTGAGCACATAGAACATCACACTACATGGATTTAATCCGGTTGTTCAGATTCTATTTCAGAAAGAACACCGACATGTCAAACGTGATGAAATTTATTTTAGTCATTAGTATATTAGCAGGCAAATCGACAAGTATTTTGTTGCAAAGATGTAATCAAGGATAGATTGAGTTTGTCAGCCCTGTATCAGTGGGTTACTGTGTATGATGGGGAACAATGAGCACAGATTAATCTACTCAGTGTTTTTATTTATTAAAAATGTTGCTGATGTAATTTCTTTCCCTCTCTAGCTTTCTACACTTGACGTTAACCTCTCTCATTCCCTCCCTTCCCCACACCCCCTCTCCATCATCCAAATTAATTCTGGATTCAGAGGCAGGTAATATTGGCGCAGAGATTTCCACAGTTAGTGCCAGTGTCACTCCTGTGCTGTGGAACCTCCTCTTCTCACTGTAACCACAAACACAAGTAATAATCCTTGCATTTGCTGTAACACACATAATGTCACAGGCTCAACAAGCATCCCAAGTAATTACTGTCAAGTGTAGTCACTATGAATTTGCAGGAGAATGTGGCAACCACTTTGTACACAACCACAAACAGCCGTGAATTGAATGATAATAATAATAATCCTTCAGTCTGATGTAGCGCCTTAGCACATCTTCGAGACGTCTCAAAGTGCTTCACACAATACACTGTAAATTGAATTGACCGTATATTTTGTGGGCGAAACTTGGCAGCCAATTGTGCCCAGCGGCGTCCCACAAACAGTCGTGGATTGAAGTGACCAATTTATTATTGTTTTCTACAATCCATGTAAATTGCTCATTCACCTCATGAGAAATGGCTGTTGCCTTTACTTACTTGATATTACTACACTTGATATTATTTGTTGTTTAAAAAAACTCTTGAGACATTTGACGTGAAAAGGCATCATAAGAGTAAGTTATTTCTTAAAGCCACTAACCGCTGACCTCTGGAGCTCCCAGCCTCAATCGCTCTGCCTCATCCCGTCTTTACCTTTAAATCCCCTTTTAAGACTTACGTCCTTGACCTCGCCAGTGGTCACCTCACTCTTTACCCTTGCTCTAAGCCTGCCACTGTGCAAGATGCTATCCTGCGTGTTACATAAATGCTAGTTGTTGGATTTTTTTCTTCCATATGGACAATCTGGGATGATATCATCGATTGTGCCTTACCAGGCATTTGGTCACTTTTATTGAGTGTTTAAAATGTCAGCAGAATGTATGTGGGGCTTTATCTTTATGCCTTTTCTTGTATCTAAACTCTGTGGTTGTCTTTTTTATAGGCTGACCAAGACGTTGGATTCTCTGTCCGATATTCCTTCCGGTAAATTGAATCATTCATTTCTAGGTAAGTCACAGTATCTCGGTGTTCATTATAGAGTGAATGTGGCCTCCAGGGTAGTCTGATCACTGCAGATGTTTAGAATTGTGAGTGACATGGCCCATCTAGGTTTTACATTGCTCCTGTCACTCACTTGTAATCCAACTCGTTTTAAAAGTGAAAAAACCAAAGTAAAATAATTAAAATAGAAAATGTAATTGTTCCAACATAAAAAATAAATGGAAGAAATTCGGGACTAAGGTTAATGAAAAATATATGAGATGTTCCATCTGACAATCTCAACTGTCATTTAACTGAAGGAATTTCTGAACCCAAACAATACTACTCTCTACTGACAGTGGACATCAATGTGAGATGGATCCCTTTTATTTTTTATTGTCATTTAAACCAAGAGCTTTTGCACAGCTTTTCCAAAGGGAAGGAGCAAGGGAGAAAACCTAAGAGTGAATCACATTTTGAATAAAATTGAAGTCTTTGGAGTCTCTCAGATTAGTGGTTAGCACAGTCCCCTTGTAAGCGAGAGGACCCGGGTTCAATTCCGGGCGGGGGGAAACCTTAGACAAGTTTTCTTGCTCCACATGCCTATGTTTACCTAGCAATTAGTAGGAACTTGGTTATTAGTCCATTGGTGGATCACTTTCTGGGGGTAATAATCCCTCCAAAAATAATAATAATAATAATGAATTTGGTCAATCAATCTGCGACTGTTTGTGGGACACTGCTGTTTGCAATTGGCTGCTGCATTTCGCCCACAAAATATACAGTCAATTCACTTCACAATATATTCTGTGAAATTCTTTGAGACGTCTCAACGACGTGATAAGACGCTATGTCAAATGCAACTATTATTATTTAAGACCATGGGTTTAATCTGGTCAAATGACCAATTTTATTGGGGGATTGTTGGCCAAGACACCAGGAAAAAAATCTTTTTGAATAGCACCATGGGATCTTTAATGTCCACCTGAACAGGCAGATTGGAGCTCGGTTTAACATCTCATTCAAAGAATGACACACGCCAACAGCAATGCATTGGAGTGTCAGCGAGACTGTATGAGTTCCTAGTCCCAATGTAGGGCTCAAACCCAACATTGAATCCACAGTCTTCTGACTCAGAGGCACCAACTGAGCCAAGCTGACACACAATGGAATGTGGGATTGAGTCAGCCCTCTATGGTAGTCTCGGTTTTAGCTGATTAATCTCCACTAGTCCCTAAAGCACACCGTGGTGTCCCTGAACTTTGGTTCTTGACAACCTGCCCCTAATACTTTCTGGAATTAAGCAAGCAGAGCACTCCAGGGAGGGAGAGTACACACTCGATTCTAGATGCAAGGACATTTCCATTTTAGGTGGCACACATACGTGAAATTCTCAGCCTGGTTTGGATACTGTTGATCATGGTGATGGGTGTCCTCATGTATCTCAGGCAAGGGCACCACACACAGGCGCGGGTGCTACATATGGGCAAGAGAAATGAATGAACTTCTAAAATGGGAGAGTAAAGCTTGAGAGGTTCATAAATATTATCTGAGCCACAAGAGTGTGTGACAAGCTTGAAATCATTCCAGTAGTTTTATATCTAATATATACAGTCTCCTGATTGTTACCATTTGTGAGATTTTCTGTTCTGAATTTTTTTTTGAACTGATGTCTTCCATTACCAACACTTCTCACTTTCCGTTTTTCATTGCCACCTTCCACTTGTCCCCCAAAGTATCCCCCTGCCTTACCATCACCTGAAAGTAAAGGGGAAATGCTTTACTACTTTACAAGATCGTGCAAGAAAGAGCTCGTATTTTCATAGTGCCTTATCATCCCGAACGGTCTCAAAGCTTTTCACAATTAAGTACCATTGACTGTAGTCACTTTCTGTAGGAAACCAATTTGTTCCGAGCAAGGCCTCACAAACCATGAAGTGAATAATAATCATACTCATTGCATTTGATATAGCACCTTATCATGTCTTAGAGACATCTCAGAGCGCTTCACGGAATATACTGTAACGTGAATTGACTGTATATTTTGTGGGTGAGTGACCAATTAGTCTGCAGTACTCTCAGACACAGCAACGGGAAAAACTCCCTGCTCCTTTCCAGGCATGTCATGGAATCTTTAACTTCGACCTGAAGAACAGACAGATGGTACCTCAGTCATGGGATCGAGGATTACAGCCAGCTTTTATTAACAAGATATTTTGTAGTCGGATTTCCTGGATTTTGAGCACTGCTGGGGGCACATTTAGCTTCCTGGTTTTGAATGTCTGATTGTTTACTGCTTCTATTTTGTTCTTAACAAAGCTTGATTGTTTGTTTTACCCACAATGATGTTTCCGTGTATTATTTCAAATCCCGTCATGCTTTAACACATCTCGGTAAAAAAAACCACAACACTCAGTATCGATATTCTTTTCGCAAGCCAGGGTTAGTAACCAGAGCTAGTGTTTCTATTTATTCCAGGTTTGGGGACTGGGCCCAAATTGACATTGATTTATTATACTGCAAGAGAACATTAGGTATTCTTAATGTGGGAATACATAGACAAATAGTAGAATTCTGATAAGAATACCTTGCAGTTTTTGTCGTTAAATGCCATTTTTCATCAAGCTGAAGTAGAATTAATAAAGATGGCTCTGGTGAAAATCAAGTTAAATTTAACCTGAAATTTATGTTAACTCATGCAGCTTACTTTATCATGGCTGAACTTGAATTGGATCATAGTTCTGTTTGTTTCGTATGGTTTTTCTGCTACTGTTTTCTACCATTTTCTCTGCTCCTCTCCTGACTTGTGTTCATTCCCTGGATGCTTCCAGCTCAGCGCTATCTCACCCGTCTTAGAATTTTTTGCGTGTAAGCTTAAACAAAGAGGATGTGGGTATGTTATTTACACTCAGAAACATCACCGCTTTGAGGATAGTTACTAATTGGTCATTCCAGGGGAAAGGGAGTAAGCAGGATTTCTTTGGGGTTCATTTGGCTCCAGGTGACGGCCTTGGCAACGGATTAGTGTAATCAAGTCATGCCTTTGTGGTGGACTCGGTAGTACAGTAGCTCAAGCCATGCCTCTTGCCAACCTGTGCCTAATACTCTAGAATTAGATAAATAGGTTGTGTCCCAACCTGAGGGAGACCGTGTCCATTCCATTCTAGACACAGAGAAATTTCCAAATGAAAGTGGCACATCTTTGTAGAACTTTGTCTGGTTTGAATACTCTGAAACAGTTGATAAGTTTCTGTGTGTGTCAAAACACTCAACTGATCTCACCCAAAAAGCAATTGGAGGCGAAGTTTGAGGATCTAATTTGGGGTATTTTTTAATGGTATTAAGGTAGGGGCATAAACAGGCAATGTTACAGAGATAGGAAACAACTGGTTTAGCCATGGGGCGGATGTGAGGGCTGAATGACAACTGAAGAGGTCATTCTGAACACTGAGAGCAAGCGTCAGCGAGCAACCAGGGCCTTTGATGGAGATGGAGCCAGATACAAGAAGACCCCAGACAATACAGATAAAGACCTGACCAGGGAATGGAAATCTCTATGTGTTAGCTACAGAGGTTTGAATAGTGTGAACAACATAGAAAACTGACTCCGAAGTACGCTAACTTAGGCCTAGTTAATTATATCCTGATAATGAGTTGGATACATATCTTTGAGGACGGAGTAGTGTTTTTGCTCTTAGGACGAGGGAGGAGAAAATGTTTAATCGAAGGATTGAATAGTGCAGATGTGAGGATGGAATCATTTCAGTTGAAGTAACCTTCTCATTATGTCCTTTTCATTCCAATTATGTGCTTTTCATTCCATGACTTCCTGATGCTCTTGTAATCAAACTGTAATATTTCACTGTTCCTCCATGATCAGTTTGTGCTGTTAAACAGAATTAGTACAAATGGAATAAATTGGACATTTCCCGAAAGAAGTCAAACATTGTATAGAAAAACTGTGACAAAATCAACGGGTTCTGTTGAAATCAGTTTAGTTCACAGTCAGAGCAGAACAAAACAGCACCATGAACAGAAGTCAGTACGCAAGCAGCAGATAGATAGTCTGAGCAGACTTGGGCAGGTTATTGGCTTGTAAAGTTCATTTTGTTCTAAGACAGTTTTTTTCAACAGATTGTGCCACTGAGTCTTTATGGGATACAGTGCATGACGCAAACTCCTATCAGCTTCCCCTGGAGTCCAACCTAATTTAGTTCATTGAATTTTTCAATCTCCCTTTTTTGTTTTTTTAATGTTATTTTGCAGATAAATAGCAAAGTAGATTATGCACATTCAGACCATCAAGGCAACAGTAGAGGCGTAAATTGTATTGCAAGCCACAGTCCCGAAGGCAAAACACAAAACCTCATGCAATGTTAATGCAATGTTTTTAAAATATATAAATGTGTGCATATAGAGTTAACAATCTGTTTACACCGTGATGAGAAAAGAGAGAAAACAATTGGCTGTACTGAGTGGGGACATTCATAATATCAGTCCCACGACAAAACCTATATAAGAAACAAATAAAAGCACAACAGGACAGCAGAAATGAGGGTATGATTTGAATTTATGTGGTGAATTGGATGGAACAGTAGCAACAGAAGAAAGCACATTAACTGGTCATTCATTTCGTTACTGAATGTGGGACGTGGCTGGTGCAGATTAGTTGCCATGTCTGCTCGCTTAGCAACAACCATTACACTTCAAAGCAACTCATTGTGTGAAGGGCTGTGAAAAATTTTGATATGATAAGGCACAATATCAAATAGCGTTATTTTTGTCATTATTTCAGTGCCAAATGACAAACTGATTTCAATGTGTCTTTTCTCGAGCTCCATAGTTGAGTCCTCTATTTACAGAAACTGAATGCAGTGGTGTGAATCCACCTATATAACAAAAAAGTAAATGTGGCAAGACATGAATGTTATACCGTTAAGAACTGTTTTCCCATTGCTGACTATGTCATTGACTAAATTAACGTATAATGAGCATTTGTGTACCTTGTCAGCATTGCATACATTCTTTTTGACTAGATTTGTACTGCATTCACACTGAAATCAAAGTATTTTAAATCAATGAGGGTTTACGCTGGCAAAACAGGTTTATTACAATAAGAAAAATTGCCGATGTCAGTCTCCTCACGATCTTGCAGTAATTGTTCCTGGTTCTCAGGTTTCCAGCGGAGTTACAGCAGCTCATCGGCCCTTCCATCTCCAAGGGAGCCGAAACGAAAGATCTCATCGCCAAGGTAAAGCCCAACTCTGGGGATCTCTCTAGTTGATCATTGCATGCCATCAAGAACGTCACTTGTCATCTTGTAGACTCTGCTTGTTTCAGGTTATACAAATCCCAAGGAATGACACTACACTGAAGTATTGGGATCACATTGAATTGTCAGAGCTGAATTATCAAATGCCAGAATTATTATTATTATAATGCGGGTGAGTATTAGGCGGAGGTTGGAAAGAGCCAAGATCTGGGGAGCCCAGACCGTGCTTTGGGGTACTGCTGAAGTCTAACCTTCTGAAACCTCATAGTTTACTATTAGTCTGAACACACAAATAAAACCTATAGATGCTGTTGGTCTTCCTCAACCGAGCTTCTAACAGTGTAAATGTGTCACTGCTGTTGGTCTGATTCCCTTATACCACAAGGGATGGTATCCATTCTCTTAGTTGTTTTCTTAAGTACCTGTCTTGACTCAGCCACTACTTCTCACTTATTAATATCATAGCTAAACATTTTTCTTTATGCACAAACCATAATGTTACGAGATAGATGTGCAACAAATTGTGGGTGGAAATTTAGGGGAGATGGATTTGTTTTTATTCAACATGATTTTAATATACTCAGAGCAGAAGCTTGACTCAAGGGAGATATCTATATTTTTTGCAAATTTATAATTCACCACAACCAAAGTTCTTAGAAAAATTGAACGGCAGCAAAAGGGAATTGGAAAAGTACTTGGCTCTACTATAATACGTGTATTTCTATCTACAATAGATATTTGTGCTTCAAATATAAAGCAAACACAATTACAATCGTAATAGCCACGAAAACACATTGGTCGATTATATACTTATATACTGCAGGCAGTGCAGCAGAGGTGTCGAATTGAGTTCAATCGCCGTTATAATGTGCTGCTATTTCTGCAAAATTACACCAGCAAATCCAGCTTGCTGGGAGGTTTTGCTTTCCATCATATGCATGCACCTAGTTTCCAAGGGCTGTGTAAAAAGAATACTAGCATTGATCTAGGAGGTACACTGCATTAATTTTAAAATCTTTTTCCTTGGTTCCTTAAATGTGTTTCTGTTGCTCTCCTCTTTCTCTGTCCCAGCCCCATGCAGTGCACCAATACATGGCTAAGTTGGTAACAGGGTACGCTGTTTCTGACAGTGCCACTCTGCAACTGGTTGCTAGCACTTGCTCAAGAGGTCTTAGCATTCATTTCCCACTGGTTTCCCCTTTCACTGAAGCTCCCTTGGGTTTGGAATTGGGTTAACACCCAACAGTCATTCTGAAACAACAATAACTTTTATATCAAGCCTTTCACATTGGGAGGATGTCTTAAAGTGCTTATCCAGCTGGGAACCCTGGTTGGAGTGGCTGACTCGGTGATGGTGGGATGGGTGAGGGGGGGAAGCCGGTCACCTAAAAATATGGTTGTAAAGGTAGGTCTTAAAGTGCAAAGCATTGAAGGCAGGTAGGGAGGCAGCAAGGACAGAATGGCTGATGGTGGGGTGGATCGAGTGTGACACGTGAAGCAGTGATTGCTGAGTGGTAGGAGCAGGCGGGACATTGGGGCAGTGAGATTGCATGAGGTGACAGATGTAGGAGGGGGCGAGGAATTTGAAATGAGATGAGGATCTTGAATGTGATCCGCTGGTGAATGGGGAGCCAGTGAGGCCGGATGAAGCTGCTGTGCTCCCATAACTGGTACATGAGAGCACATGAGCTTCTCAAATTTCTGCAGGGTCTGCAGGTTGTGTAAGGGGATGAAGGAGTGTATGAGGTTCTTGGCGGCCTCGGGAAAGAGGTGGTGGCGAAGCGGGTAAAGTTGCGGAGGTGAGTCAAAGCCGAGCAAGTGAGAGCCAGATTTGGGACTTGAAGAAGGACATTTGGATAAGGTACTGAGGGTCCACACTGGTTTCACGAAGCAGAGTGAGCATCCGTGCAAGTGGATGTGGTCAGCGAATGAGGTGAGAAGAGGAGAGCCGCAGTTTTGTTGGCATTTAACTAAAGAAAGTTCGCTCTCCTTTAGGATTTCAAAACCACAAGCTGTGAGAAAGGTCCAGCATTTTGAACGTGCTGTGCCACCCAGAAAGTCGATTTCCCCCCCAGCAACAACCCCCAACCCCCCAAAAAAATTAAAACCTGGGTTTCAAAATGAGTCCTGCAAGTGCTTGTACATTTACTAAGTAAATGTGGTTGTAAAAGCACTTCAGCTGAAAGTAGGAGTATTACTGGTGCTTGACCATTGTGAAAAAAAAGGCAGCTTCCAATGTTTTCAGTCGGGAATCAATCCCTTGTACTGACTTGGGTCCAAGGAGATTTCAGATCAGAGCCAGAGAATTGAAAATCAGTGTGACATGCAGGGAATTCCCTTGGGGAAGACTGCGTTCACGATGCTGGGTGCTTTCCCCCGCTGCCAGGAGCCAGGAAAGTTCCCACTTTCGATGGAGGGAATTTTTTAACCCCACAAGAGTTTAATGAACAGTTAAAGCTCGCCCAAGCTGCAGCTTCCTGTGTTATTTTAGGCTCAGGCCCAGCTGTGATGCTTTGAAATGCCTCACCGATTGTTACTGAATTGTAAAGCGTGAAGGGATAAAGTACAACAGAAGGAGCGGAACTCTCAAAAGGGATGGCATTCGGCTCTGCTATAAGAGCTCAGTGAAGCTGAGCGCAGACACCTTGCAGGAAACTTGGACACTCCCAAGGGTGGGCGGCGGTAGATATAGCCCCTGAGCTGGAGTCGTGGATGCGGTCTTTATGCACGCTCCACCCTCACAGTGCCAATTGCATTCACTCAGCTAAATGCCACCTTGTATGTGGGTAAATATTCACGCCAAGAATTTGTCACGCACTCTGAAGTTTGCAACACTTTGCTCAAAATGAATGTCGCTGTATTAGAAGACATTAATGGATAGAGACAGCAGGAGCAACTTACGCTTCTGCTGATGTCTCCTCTGCTTGAACTGAGGCCGCTTGACATGAAGCAGTTTGAGACCATCAATCTGCAGCAAATGAACGACTTGTAACATTCTGTGAACCAGGGCAAGAATCTCGGTGTGAATATCTTGCCGTTACTGATCAAACGAATATCAGGAAACCAATATCTCCTTTGAAAATTATCTGCGCTTGTTAGAGCCAGGGGAAGGTAATTATACAATGTTGTTACCAGACATAGATTTGGGAAGCTTGTGTCTGATAGATGTAGATGGTTAATTTCCCCTCTACTGTGTTTTTCCTTGTTCCTATGAATTTATCTCGGAAGAGGAGGTTATCTGAGTCATGGCCTCCTTGGTTGCTCTCTGTCAATGAATTGTGTAAGTCGATGCGATACATAATTACATTTACACAGCGCTTTTCACTCCGGGAGGACGTCCAAAAGGCCCTGTGCAGTCAGGGATTTGGTCCCGAGCAAGGGGTTGAGGTAAGGGAGGGAGGAGGGCACAGGGGTAGGAGGGTGTCTGAAGGCACGGCGGAAGAGGAGGGTCTAGAGACGTGCCTTGAAGTAGGCAATGGAGGGAGGGAGGAAATGGTGGGAAGAAATTCCAAAGGGTGGGGGCAGAAAGGTTGAAGGCCCGACCGCCGACGTTGGGGCAGGCCGGGCGGGGGATGTGGAGCAGGCCGCAGCCTGTTGAGCGGAGCGAATGGACAGGTCAATATGGGGTAAGCAGGTCACAGAGGTAGGGAGGAGCAAGGCCGTAGAGGGCCGATGCATTTGAGCAGAGTGAGCTGCTCTCCACCAGCTTTTTGGGGGGTTGGGTTAAGTGATGGTGGGGCGGTGGGGAGGAGAGGAAGAGAGGTTATGAAGCGAGAAATGCCAATAAAAAGCAGAAAGTTAGATGTGGCGTGCATGTGCCTTCAATGCTGTGCGGTATTGGATTAACTATTCATTGGTCTTTATCCAGGCATTAATTAACAAGCTAAATTGGCCTGTTTGCGGTAAAGGTTTTTACACCAGTTTCAGAGCGGTAAGGGTGGCTTAACCGTCTGTTAGTTCAATAACCTGACATTCTGCCCTTGGCATCTCGACACTGCCATTAAGATCAGTGACCAGAAGAATATTGGCTCCGTGATACCCTTGGGCAATGAAGCTGGGACATTGGCTGTGCCATGTATTGATTGTAAGTGAAGATACAATAGATACAATAGATTCCCTCACAGTCTAATAAATCTTTAGTTTAAATAAAGCATAACAACTGCATTGATTACTAATTATGTCTAGTTATTGCAGCAACAAAGGCAGATTGCAGTGTTTTGCTCAGGTGTCAAAGTAGTGAAGCTCAGTATATAACAGAACTATGGGTTCTGCTGGTAAATTTCTCAGGAATACTGATAATAATTTCGCAAGTAGAATTGTATTCGTTATCTATACTCTGCAGTATCATTTATTAATATTTTTGCATATTATGTTGTTTTTGCCTCTTCCAAAAAATAATAATAAATTGGTCAGTTCAATCCACGACTGTTTGTGGGACGCCGCTGTGCGCAATTGGCTGCCGCGTTTCGCCCACAGACTATACAGTCAATTCACTTTACAGTATATTGCGTGAAGCGCTTTGAGACGTCTCGAAGACGTGATAAGGCGCCATATCAAATGAAAGGATTATATTATTATTCTGAGGCTCCAGTTAAAAGACAGGGTGTAGAGAGATGCACTTGACCCATGGTCCATCTGACTCGGGAGTACTTGATGCTAGAGTTGAATACAAAAACGTCTCTGCCTTTACACAGACGGAGATTGGAATGGAACATGTCTGTCATGAACAATAATTGAATTAGAGTTCATAGAAGATGCTTAAACAGGAGGATATACTGCAAGTTGTAGGGAGGAAGCAGTAGAGTAGGATTAGGAGGGTACATGTTGGTTTAGGAAAACGACAACGCAGACTTGTTGGACCGTATGTTCTGTTTCTGTGCTATAACAATCTGTGATTCTATGATACATTAGAATACATAATATACACAGCAGAAACAGGCCATTCGGCCCAACTGGGTTTCATGCTCCACAGGAGCCTC